CCCCAAAACCCCAAAACCCCAAAACCCCAAAAGGCTTAAAACTATAAGATTAATGAATGAGTAAATAATCATCCAAATTTGTATTTAAATTTTAATTATTTTAAGAATTCAATACTCATTATCATAGCTAAAATACTGCACCAATAGGAACATGGTCTGAGTACCAAATAGCTGAAGGAAATCCGAGTTCATCACCCTTGATTATATTCCAGCATTCATCATTCAATGCATTCTTTTTGTCTGTATCTTAAGATGTCTCAATTTCCTTCAATAAATCCTCAACTTTTGAAATTTTGTCCTGATTAATTAAATCTGAAAAATTCTCTACAGCTCTCATAACCGATAATAGATTCATTCCGGTGAAAAATAGACCGTCAACTGTCCTTTAGACTACTTAAGTCCCATTCCAACCATCTCTGTTTCTGCTTTGAATTCTATTCTCAGAATTGTAAAGAGTTTCAGCAGTGTGAATGTATTAAAGTTCTTCTCTGACCTCCTTAACAAGCTTAACCAGCTCTTCAATCTCAGTGTTCATATCTCCCCCCAAAATTATGGGGTAATTATCTTTCCAAATTGGATGATCTCTAATCAAATTGAGTTAAGTTTATCTTGTCAATCTATCTTCCTCCGTCTTTCCACCACTTAAGTGGAGATTGCAATTTACGAATAGCTTTTATGCCTCTCTGTGTCTGAAAGTTTGGAAATATCCAAATTAGTTAACTTTTTCTTTTTTCATAATTAGCAAGCTATCAACATTTAGTTCTTAGAGCTTCTTATTATTATGAATAGTGGCACATTTAAGTTATTAAGCTCCTGTAGGTTTTTATGATGTGGTGTAAGCATACTTATTATCCTATTCATTTAGAAAATCCAAAACGCTTGCCATAAGTTCTTAATCAAGAGGACCTACTTCTTGGATATTCAAGATGTCAAAATCTTAAATATCAGATTAGGTTACAAATGTCTTTATGGCCTCAAACCTTATATTCCTTAATAATTCTGGATTTTTTTTATCATTGACTTGCCTATATGAACAGCATTAGCCATCAATTAGATGCTGTGCTAGAATGTTCATTGAAATTATCTTCAATTTTCCTTAATATTGATCATTTTAGTCTAACTTCTCTTGAAAGTGTACGACCTTTAATTTTTAAGATTCCATAGTAGTATTAATTTCAATTTTTAAATAAAAATAAATCTTATTACTTTAATTTAAGTAAATATTAAATAAATATGCAAACCACACTATTTATAGATAATTCTATTCGGCCAGCTATGGAATAATAGCAAAATTGGGATAATAAGGTGCTAATACATAATGATAAGACAATTTTGATTCCTGCAAGAACAAAGCTATTGCTTAAGAGGATAAAAGAAGTCGATATGAACAGAGGAATATGTGTTTTAAATTACACTTAGCTAGTATGGTTGTGTTGCGCAGGTTTACCTGAGAAATTAGTGACAGAGCTAAAAACTAACCTTAAATATAGAGTTGGGTTCGATACCGAAGAATCTTTTACTCCTGAAAACTCAGCCATTCGAGAGTCTAATGGTTGGATCACAATTACATACAGAGGTTCAAAAGAATTGATTATTTATGGAGATATGACATGGGTTCCATTCCATCTCTTTTTTGTGGAGTTTCATTTTGAATTGTCGCACTTAGAAATTAATCTTGAATTGGATAAATTTGCCAAAAGCTTTGTAGATAAAAATGCTTGGAATACATCTGAAAAATAAACCAAGAGTTTTATAGTGCGATTTCTCTTACATGAAAATCATTAACAGAATGAAATGGTCGGAATTAAAATAGATGCCAAAGAAACAGCGAATGTTTCAATTGCATATCCTTTTATTAAAATTCATATTGTAGAAGAGCAAAAGTCCAACAAAAAGGAACCAGAGAAAACACTCAATTACTATCCAGCAGTAAGATATGAGATTGCTTTTTATTAGTAGCCAGGAGTTTCTATAATCAGTGCATATTTGCCAGTTTTCGTTTTGTCTTTCGTTGGTTTAGCAATGTTCGACAGTCCTGTTGACTTAGCCAGTAGAATTTCGAACGTTGCAGTTTTGCTTCTGGCATATATTGCTTTCATACCATCTCTGAGAAGTCTAATGCCTCCAGTACCCTACATTACTATGAATGATGGAATAATCGGTCTTAATTTAATTGCTTGTCTACTGATTCTTCTTGAAAGTTATTTATAAGCTTATAATGCTAGAAATGAAAGCCCTGACATAGAATATGAAAAGCTCCTTAGGCAAATATTCAAAATCGTAGTCCTTATTGTATTTACTTTGCCTATGGTTATTGTCTTTTTGCTCTCTTTACTATATTATCTTTACTGGCAAAGATTGTATTCAAAGAAATCAACTGAAGATAAACGAAGTGCAGATGACTTTGAAATAAATACTTGGTTTTTAAGACATCAATCTAGAATTGGTAGTCCTATGCTAATAAATGAGTTATGAATTTCATACTATAATCAGAATTTGATAATATTTTAAACTAATTGATCAGAAACAGTTTTTAATCACTTTTCCTCAGAATCTTAATTAAATTTTACTCTTTGGGGTTTTGGGGTTTTGGGG